CTAGGCCCGGGCCTCATGGGCCTATAAGTAAATCCATCACTGGTAGTCTCCCATGTCGATGTCATTAGGACGTTGACCTTATGTCAGGAAACACGCAGCATCGTTCACATCGTAGTGCTTATCGGCTTGGCTTGTCGCAGTGATATAGACTAAACATACTGAGCTAATATTAATGCAATTCTGCTAAAACTCCTTAACGATTTTCGCATTAAAACCACGAACTCAAAATTTAATCATACAAAATCCAATCACAAATTCACAATAGCAAAACAATTTTTATATTGGTTCCAATTTGTGTGTATTGTTATGGCATTGTGCGAGCCTTTTGTTGACATAGTTCATTAACAGAATTACGTTAACAAAATTGCGCAGTGACGCAGCTCCGGATTGAAGTTGCCAATCATTCTCGTATTGGGACACTCAATGCCAACTGATTAACGAACTTGCGCAAACAACATGGCGGTATGAACAGGATTTCAAAAACAATATCGATGTTTTGACATTTTATGGAACTTACAAAGCCTCCATAGTTATTCCGGACTAGCTGACCCGGCAGACTTCGTAGTGCCTGAATCGAGAAATAAAAGACCTAAACTTTTGTATAGAATAAACTTAAAACAATCAAAAGGAATTCGTCCGACGGGGGCTATATCAAAGGAAAAACAAAATTGTTACTTTTAATTAAATTCCGAACATTTTCATATTTATCTACCTTTTAAATCTTCTCTGGACTTCCACAAATAATTCAAGACCAAAATTAGCCAAATCGGTCCAGCCGCTCTCGAGTTTTAGCGAGGCTAACGAACAGCAATTCATTTTTATATATATATATTTATATATATAGATATAGATAGATAGATAGATAGATATTCATCGTTTTTTTCAATATGGCAATTGGCCTCTTACGATACCATTGTCGTCAGTGTCGAGTGTGTAAAAATCTTTAATTATTTCATACATACCTAAATATTCTGTTATGTGCAGAATCCCGTAGAGTGGGATGAGATGAAGTTCATTTACTTGAAATTGTAATCAATTGCCATGAAGTTAAATTAAACTCACCAAAATGGTGATTTTATTGGTGAAACTTTTGAGTGGACCTTTGAAAAAAGAATCCGAGAAGCCACGACCAGTGGCTTTATTTCATTTTTATACATTTATGCACTTTCGCATATGTTGATCGATAATTATTAACCCCCGTTATTACATGTTCAAATCTAAAGAAACATATAATTAACAAAATGCCCAATTAACACAATTTTTCGCTCCTCGCATTCCAAAAATTAATTCCTAATCCAATGCAAACGAAAAACTAAAAATAAATCAAAAATGTACACTATCAATAAGAGTCCAAAGTTTGCAATCGATAATTATCATTACAATATTTAATTTTGTAGACCGATTACAATGTAAATAAATAACTTTGATAACTTTGGTATAGTTAACATTGTTATTTATAATTTGACATTCAACAAGTGTGTTATTTATACTGACATCTAAGTTGAAATAAATGATTTTGAATTTGAATTGAATTTGATAAAAATTACAGTCTTTGTTATGGTTCAAGACATGATTCCCACCCTGTCGATGATCTTCTTTTTAAGTAGTTCTACACTCTAAGGCGTATTTGAATTTAGGTTGGATGTGATCAATCTAGCATATGAAATTGCACCATAGATATTTTTTATGGCATACAAATGTATATTTTCGTGTTTTTTTTTGTGTAGAAAGACTGAAGAATATATTCTGCTAACACAACATTAAAACGCGTCTTTTTTATAACACGACGGTTTTTATCGATTTAGTATTCGTCTTTCTTGCTATGGTCCTGTACTTTCAGATTCTTTGAAGCTGCGACTATGCCATATCCACGTCTCAATCCCACGTTTTAGGAATCAACATTCGTAAATCCGAAAACGGAAGCAAAGGTATTTTCAATTAAAATACAAAAATAATTTTTTCAGTAAAAATTACAAAGAAAATGTATTTTTTTATTTTTTTGTCAAATCGTATCGTCTTCTATAGCGGACACAAGTCCCATCCACACGTCCATAAAAATCAAAATGTTTACGATCAAATATGATGAAATTAAAAGGATTCTTTCGTCTTTGCAATTCGATTACGACGACCAAAAAATTACTACACAGAATCAATAAAATTATTACAACATTGTCTTCGTCTGCGGGACTAGCCTTAACGGATTTCTGTCGTCATAAACATGAGTCATAGACAACTAAAAAACACGGTCAAAAAGTGAACGCAAATTACCATCAGCAAAAATAAAAAAATGTTTTCGTGTACCTACTAAAAGTGAAAGAATGATAATTTCACTTTTCAACAATAGGAACACGCATTAGCGTTTTTGATACAGTTTCTTTTTATTTTTTTACCATAGGTAGTTTTACAAAATGTAGTTTTGATTGGTTTGTGAAAATTCTCAATAAAAACCTCAGATTTTGCACACTAATCGGAATTAAGATGTACCATCCTATTAATTTATACTTAGTTGTTTATATGCGCAATTTCTTTATGATTTTTTGACTAAACAGCACCTAAGTGAAAACGCGAGTAATATCTAGAGCATTCCTAAATGTATCTGGCAGCTTATGTTTTTTCCTGACTGAGTCCGTGTTCGCCCACCTGTTCTGGTGAAACTGAAAAAGCCACTGGGCCACCAGTAAACTTTGCTTCCTTTGCAAAGTTACGAAATATCTCATTTGTTCCTTCTTTTAGCTACCATGAAACATATTTTACGATTAGAACACGGTATATAATTTTGTAAAGTTTTTAAAGGTCTGTCCAATTTTGGAAGATCTTGGGATCATATAGCAGGATTTTTCAACCACACTTTGGATTTGTTCCCTTCATGATTCATTGTGTTTATGAAAAGATACAGTAAAATTCATACGTTTTTAGAATTATGAATATAACGATTATTCGAATCTTTCGGTATCTGCATTCCCTTTCAAACTAAGATAAAGTCAACATAAGTTTTAATTATTTTTTTTAATCATAAATGTACGTAGGTCTACGCAGTTTGATTAATACCTTTTTTTTGTTTTTAAGTTATGATTATGTTATTCAATCCCTTTTCTCCTTAAAACGTAGTTTTTTTGATTGCCTGAATAAAAATGCCCTAACATTTTCCTCTTGTTTAATTTACAGGCAGCTCGATTTAAATCACGAAGGCAAAACGCATTACATAGATTGATTATTATTCTAAGAATGTCACATTATGTTCTTTATACTGATGAATTTCGTTACATTCGATTTTTTATCCAGAAGCTTACAAATTCTTTTAAGCAACCTCAAAGAAATGAGAAGGTTCTCGATTCGACTGTATTTTTGTTTATGCGTTACCTCAAGCCTTTTTTTCTAAATGAACCAATTTTTATAATTTTTATTGGTGACTAGCTGACCCGGCAGACTTCGTAGTACCTCAATCGATAAATAAAAGACACATCAAGGGGACACATCAAAGGAAATACAAAATTGTTTGTTTTTATATAAATCCGAGCATTTTCATATTTATTCACCTTTTAAACCTTCTCTAGACTTCCACGAATAATTAAAGACCAAAATTAGCCAAATCGGTCCAGCCGTTCTCGAGTTTTAGCGAGACTAACGAACAGCAATTCATTTTTATATACATATATAGATTATATTATTTTTTAATTTGAAAGCGGTTGCTTCCCCATTTAAATTGCATCAAGACTTGATCTGTATCTTTTTTGAGTCATTTTTAATAATGGACATTTAATTGACTTTGACTAGATTGTTGATATTCTAATTATATTTTGTCGGAGTCGTTTTTTTTTTTAAATTTTGTATTAGATTGAAATGCGTTGTACCCAACTGATCCCACAATGTGTTCTACCTCTTTCAGTAGAGTTTCAAGCTCAGTGTCAACACGAAAAGCAGTAAAGTTAAAATGTTTAAAATTTTAAACCTTTCAATACAACATTTCCAAGGATTACAAGGTTTTCGTCTTTTACTTAACAACCTTTTGCGACTAATTTTAGGTCACGTCGATCAACAACAATGTATCCTTTAACAACTCGATAGCATTGGAATGTAGTACATTTTCGGTTTTGTCGAAGGAATTAACATGTTGCGGATAGGATATTTCTGGAATGTTCTTTTTTGTTATTTTAGTTGATGCGTAGACGAGCTCCCGCATAGATTGTGGATCATCTTATATTATGAATGCTCATCATGACTGATCAGTTTGAAAAACAAGTTTTCGATAGGCCATTTCGGAGATATTCAGGGAGTTAGCAAGCGCACCGCTCCTGGCTGATCCCGTGCTCGAAATGAAGCCATAAAACCCACTGAGCCACCAGGAAGCACGCTTTCCCGAAGGATGCAACAGCTGTTATATAGTTGATACTTCGACATCTTGTTCGTTAGCGGCCACACGTTAGTCCCAACCAGATAGATGCCTATGGGCTCCAGTAACTACTTAACACCGTGTCGTGAGCTAGTTTACCAAATGCGGCAATAAAAAAAATCAATATAAAATAAGGGCGACAAAAGTGTCCGAAAACAAAAAACCCTAGTAGAAATTACTATGTTCTATATTTTTACTGGTGGTAGGACCTCTTGTGAGTCCGCACGGGTAGGTACCGCCGCCCTGCCTATTTCTGCCGTGAAGCAGTAATGCGTTTCGGTTTGAAGGGTGGGGCAGCCGTTGTGACTATACTGAGACCCTTAGAACTTGTATCTCAAGGTGGGTGGCGTATTTACGTTGTAGATGTCTATGGGCTCCAGTAACCACTTAACACCCGGTGGGCTGTGAGCTCATCCACCCATTTAAGCAATAAAAAAAAAGCAGAATTAAACATGTTTTATGGTTTTTTTTTTCAAACAGTACTTCATGTTTTCTCTCGAAACAGTTTTCTTTTATTTACATTAAAACTCTATCGAACGTGTACAAAACAAATTGTTTTCGCCTCGTTCCAAATTCAGTCTTACAATAAAATAATAATAATAATATCTACCTAGAGTTGAATTAAAATCCAAAGGAAAATCGAACGTGTGCGTTTCACTTAATAACACTGCTTCTTTTCACTGAACGTATTCACAAAGGAATACACAAGTTTAACAGTCTCTTAAACACCCACCGCGCCGAGTGTCGCTAGAAACACTGAGCTGTACTCAGGTCGGAAACCAGAAACGCAGTAAGCCCCTACTTGATAAACCATTATGTCGTTTCCAAATTTGGTTTACAGCTAAGATTGTGATTTAAAAACTGAATAACGCTTATAAACTCACAACAAACAACAACAACAACAAAAATCATTAGCAATTATTCGGATAAAAAATTATTTCAAATTTCGAATTTTGGTTGTGCATTACTCGTTCTCTCAAAGACAGTGCCTGGATCGACTCGTTATCGATAAAATTATACGTTGACGTAATTTCCTTCTACGTAACTAAGTACAAAAACGGTGATTAGATTAACTTTTTAAAATTTCGAATTCGAATTTAAATTCGAACATGAAATCTGAATTAGTGTGTCTTTGCAATAAAATCGATACATGTAACTAGGGAAGGAAAAAAAAGATATACATATTTTCAAACATCAAACACTGACTCTTTTAGCATGCAGTTGTTACTTACTAATATTAAGTACTAATTTTTATTCTCGGGGACAGCTACCTGCTAATCAAGATGTACTTATTTTCTAGACTTTAGAAACTATGTGCAGTATCTTTGTAGGTTTTGGGGGATCGCAAACATCATTAGTTAAATATTAACACGATGAGATTAAATTAGTTATATAAATATTTACGACGATTTTTTTGTAAATAACATGTACGCAGAATATGGACGCGGTATAAAAAACATAATTCCAATATGTATAACGGCAACTGGGGCATTTAAACTGCTTGTATATCCGTCAAATAACGCCTATGAATATATTTTTTTATTTTTTTTATTTACGTCAAAATTAGAAGTTATTATCGATAATTTGATTTAAAGCACCACACTAAGAACCTGTTCCCAGTCATTGGTCATCTCAGAGCGCGCGGTCCGTAGCGACGCGGCGCGCCGGTTTCCCCTAACTTTCTTCGACCCCGTTCTCAAAGCGACGGTACATTTTTTGTGATCGCGTTTTTTATAAGTCTAACAGAAATTTTCTGGTGCGTGATGATATAATGTCGCTGTTTTGAGATTGTCTATCCTGAAATGTTGTTTTCTATTCCAGTTTCATTGCAATTCAATATGGCAGACCTACTACTTGAAGTATACATATGATTCAAACATAAATAATTTGTCTGAGTCAACAACAGCGGCTCACATTAATATACAATACAAAAGTTGGTATCAACTATCAATGGTAGGCAGCGGCTTGGCTCTGCCCCTTTTTTTTTTTTTTTTTTTTTTCATGTAGAGGGCCGAACCTCCTACGAGGTCCCCGCGCAAAAGGGGCGCGCGGGGTATGTGAGACTCAACGGTCTGCATGGTGTTGTGAGCAGACCGCGGGCCCAAGGATTTTAGGACCCACCCACTAAACGACTCCCCTGCACTCTTACACCCGACGTCCGATCCCCTCCGAGGTCAGAACCCGGATGAGGTAGTGGGGCTACCGCGGTCAACACTACAACCAGACGGCGCGGCTCACCCCAAGGACGCCCAGCCGACGGAGCCTTCGAGGCGAATCGAAGGCTCTGAAACGTCGGCCGTCTCGGTACGGCAGCCCGTCGGGCCGCCCAGACGGTGCCGCTGGTGTCCCGGAATACCCCGCTGGACCAGAACCAGCCTGCCGGGTCGGGACGCGATACACCGTCGACCGGTCGCTCTATTCGCTCCACGGCAGCGCGCTAGAGTGCTGGTAGCGCGCCGCGCGGCCTCACCCCCTCAGGTCGCCCCTTGACCTTCACCGGGGGGAGGCCGCTACCTACAGGGGCCGGGACGTACGGCTCTGCCCCTGGCATTGCTGACGTCCATGAGCGACGGTGACCACTTACCATCAGGGGGCCGTATGCTAGTCTGCCTACAAAGGCGATAAAAAAAAATAAAAAAAGTTTAGGTATTTTATTTGGCACTAAGAAGTCTGCCGGGTCAGCTAGTAATTTATAAATATCAGCTATTATAAACATGGACTTTTCTCTTCAATGTGACTTTTGGGGAGCATTGTTCTAATTTCCCCTCAACACAGAGCGGTTTGCTTATAATAATAAAAAACTACATGATAATTCGTAAACTATTTAGCACGGATCTATCGAGGATTGCATGTTACATGCACCGTTGGCCTTGTAACAGATGTGAACGATTCTCTATCGTTGTTTTCAAGGCCAGCGCCCAATACGAGAACAGCTAAAATAAATATTTCAAAACTTATGGCTTCGATTCGTATTGCAAGATTTCTGCATAAACAAGGAACTTGGATTGATTGTGAAAATTTAAAACGCAATAAACATCTTTAAAAAGAGTTCAAATAATAATGTTGGAAAAAAAACTAAAAACGATGACGGCTTTTAGCTTCCTATTATTAAGCTTATTTAAATGCTATTGGTTGTCAGTCAAAATAGTATTTTAATATTTTTTTTTTTAATTTAAAAAGGCGGAAGAACGCCGTTTTCAACAAAAAAAAAGAATTAAAAGAAATCCGATTGTTCCTGTGATCTGTGCCAAAATTGTAGCAACAGACCAACTACGATTATGGTAATACAGTAATACCTACTACAATTAAATCTATAAAGGTTGTGGAAAGTGATACAAAAGTTTTACATGTACCTAAAATGTATAAACTCAAATCAGTACTACTATAAATACACAAGAACAGAAAAACATTTAGAATCTCTATCTTAGATTCAGAGAAGCATTCCCCTGAATGTATTAAAACTTGATATGATCGCATTTATCATTTGAGGTTAAGGACCTTTATTAAAAACAACCAAAGAAATTTTTATCTGATTTTAGTTGTTTTTGTTCTATATATCTATAAATATTATATTCTTCTACTGTGACTTCTACTACCACTACTATGGATTCCATTTGGTACTGTAAGCGCAGTTGTTTCCCAAAGTGACAAAACTCAGTTCAAAGAGAAAAACTTGACACAACAAAATTCCTAACGTCCTTGCAATCACTCACTATTGCCAATGATCCTAATAAGTGTAAAATATTAGCATTGCTCTTACTTTTCTAAAGCAATATAAATTGCAGTGTTTTTCATCGTAACATTTATTGCTGTCCTAAATAATAAAAATTCCTGAATGCAATACATCGTTTATCCATTGAACCTACTTTAAAGATTATATCAGAATCAGAGACTTTATTGAAAATATCATGAACATTTTGCCTAGACTTCGAGGTACGTTCATTTTAATTTTATATTTATTTAGTGTTTCTGAGCACTGCACTGTGAAAGGGCACAAAGGCTCTGAGTATGGCTTCTCGGGACCTTCCAAAAAATCCACTGAAAAGACTCATTATATAACACAATTTTACTGAGATTTTTTTTCATGCCATCATAATCATCATAATCAAGTAATTTATCGTAACTTTGACTGATCATTTTGTCAGGTGGACCGAGGTTCGTAGCTACCCTACATGATGCTAAGAATTGCTACATACCACTACCACTCTAAGTAATGAGGTTCGAATTTCTCATTCTCTACATATTTTAAGCAATTATAGAGCGGGTGGCCCCCAAGCATAGATACCACTATGCTGCCTATTTCTAAGCAGTCATGCAATCCGGCTTGGAGAGCAAAGGAGTTTTTTTTTTTGTTGGAGTTTGAATGTGTATGTAAGTAATGGCAGGCAGCACTTGTCACATGTGAAGTGACAGTTTTCGTATATCGGAATGTTTTTTTAAATGTTTGATTGATGAAGATGATTGTCTTCTGTTATGAAACTTACTTCTCATCTAAGCACGGACAGTGAAATATTCTAGGGCTATATAAACATAAAATATTGTACATGTGTAATAGTGTAGCGTTTGTAATATTTAACCATGAAGTCAGTGTTTTGATGAAAAGAGACTTTTGCTTTTAGATTTTCAGAAGTAAATATGCAAATGTCACTTGCAATCAACTGTCAACTATGATGGACTATCACTGTCATTGGCTTCAGCATCGTTGTCAGTCGTCAAAACAACAAAAATGGCGCAGATTCCTTTAGGAGTCAAAACTCATGCTCAAAAAGTCTGTAGCCTTTACAAAAGAGCTTTACGTAATTTAGAAGCGTACTACGACCGCCGGTGAGTATAACAATTTAATTAAAATGTTTGTAAAATTAGGTCTTCCTTTTATTTTTGAGTTACGTAATTGCAAATAACCTTTTATTTATTTATTTCAGATAATTCCAACAAGATTAATGATTATCCTAAAATCTCATTATGTTAGTAACGAAATTATTATGAGGTCACTCCGATCTTTACATTTACCTTATACAAAAGTCGACCTTAACTGAAAACATTTTTAATCATTTAGGTTCATATTACACTCCATTAAATATTCAAGACGAAAAAAAAATCTTGTTGATATAATGTGCTCTCTTAATTGTTTTTAGTAGAGTTAGTTGCAATAAAGAATATTTATAAATCATTTAGAAAAATCATTTGTACATATTAAATCCACTTCTAGTTTAATATTTATAGAAATTATACTTCACATCTTTAAATTCTATAATTATTATGTCATTCAATCATTGACACCCTAGAAATTAGAGAAGATAGAAAGATGGAAATAAGTTTACAATAAGTAAAATGCAGTTATAAGTGGTTGTTTTTGCACATATAAATATTACACCATAACAAAAATATTTAGGTAAACCCATCTACCATACAAACATTTTTGCTTTAAAGCAAACATATTCCAGTTTAAAGAATGAGGCAGCCCTTAATCAATTCAAGTATGACTTTCACTTCATGTCTCATGCTGGAACCTAATAACCACTCAACCAACCAATACACCAGGTGGGCAGTAACTTTCCTGTCACCTGATTTAGCCATAAAAAATACAAGTTTGTGCCTAAGATTTTATTAGTCTAATAGTTTCATGAAACGCTCAATCTTTAGATGTATAATATTGATTGTTATATTATAGACATGTGTACCGATACCAAGCTGTATTGTTACGTGAGAGGTTTGACAAGCATGCCAAGGAGACCAATATGATTAAAGCAAATGAGTTACTGAAAGAGGGTGAAGAGGAATTGTTTCTGAAGCAACATCCCATACCTAAATATTGTAAGTTTTGTGTCCTATTCAATATGAAAGGGAAACTGAACTTTTCTCACAATTAATTAAGTATTTTGGTTTATTGTCAGTAAATCTAGATGCCGTTACGCATTCTGAGCATCATTATCGCTGAATACGACGAAAAGTAGAAATTACCACTTGATCCATTAAACTTTTCGTTGTATCTCCTCAGTGGGTTGTGATTCCGATCAGGTGGTTACATTTTTTTTTTTTTTTTTTTATTGCTTAGATGGGTGGACGAGCTCACAGCCCACCTGGTGTTAAGTGGTTACTGGAGCCCATAGACATCTACAACGTAAATGCGCCACCCACCTTGAGATATCAGTTCTAAGGTCTCAGTATAGTTACAATGGCTACCCCACCCTTCAAACCGAAACGCATTACTGCTTCACGGCAGAAATAAGCAGGGCGGTGGTACCTACCCGTGCGGACTCACAATAGGTCCTTCCACCAGTGGTTACGCAAATTATAATTTTGCGGGTTTGATTTTTATTACACAATGTACATATAACAATGTATAGTACTTAGAGAAGTCTCTTTTTAAGGCAAATATTAGCAATCTCTCAGGCTATTATTCTCCATGAGTCTACTCATCCAGTGAAACCAAAATAAGCTCTCCAATACTGGTAATAGGGGAAAAAAAAATATTTTCTTTAAAATCCCAAATTTTTGCTAAACACAAAGCATTGTAAAATAGACTCATAAACATAATTTTTTTCAGTTGCCACAAGTCCTGGAGGTGTAGCTCATGAGCGTGTAGTCACTCCCCCTGATTGGGTCTTGGACTATTGGCATCCTCTTGAGAAAGCCCAATATCCTGAATATTTCAAGAAACGCGAGCAAAGAAAGAAAGAGTTCGTTGCTATGTGGGAGAAGGAGTATGGCAAGCCAGATGAGAAAGATAAGCATCATTAGACAAATTGTATTAACTCTGTAATATAGTATCATATTAAAACCTTGTTTTATTAAATCTTAGTGGAACCGTTTATTTGGTTATTGATCCTTTGAATCGGTAGCGTGATATGATAAATCACTTATTGACGCCTTACATACGCCCTCACCGATCTTTAATACCCACTCTCACCATTGTTGTGATACTGGTAGCAGCAACAAGACACTGGTAGTCGCGAAACAGTTGTCATTGATCTATTAGGGTGCTCCTTGGGGTGCTCAGACTTCGGAAATCTTTCCATCCCAGAAAAAATGCAAAGATCAAAGTTGCCCTTCAGACCACAATTCTGTGACATCTTTTCGTCTCATTTTGAAATTTACGTCTCTAAACCTTAGGTCACTAAAGGAATTTTAACAAATGATTTTAAATCTAATTGTTAATTGTCTCTCAATCGGTAACATTACTGATTTGTATATAAAAAGATATGTGAATAACTGAAATAAAAACAAAATTAAAATGTAAGTAATTTTATTAAATTATAGCAGTCATTTACAACAGAATAACTTCAAAACGTACTCCAGTATCTATAAATTACAGGGAAAAAAATCATACGCGTTACATTCACACCAAAAGTCAATAATTTGATTAAATACACACAGACATAAAACTCATTTAAACAGGAAAATTTACAATTTTTTTTTGTTTGCAGCCTGCCAGTTATAAATTAGTATATTTAACTGTAAAAAAGCATTAGGAAAATATTGATAACTGAATTTATTATACAGAACTTTTAATCTAATATTAGTCTTACGTCGACATTGCTATTCTCTTTACATGATCACGAAATTACAAACATGTCTCATTTAAGAATATGGTCTTATTTTAACACTAGTAGATTATAAAAAATAGTTAATAAAACGCATCTAATCCGCCAGAAAGTTGCTTTGATAAGGTGTTTTTGTTGAAGAATTTTTAGAAACCGTTTCATCTCATAAATACTTTTTTCCATTAAATCACTTTCGCTGATATACTTTATGCTATTTATAATTTACGCCAAAAACGTTTTATTAATCATATTAATCGGAAAAAAAATATTTAGGAAAGTTTAGATACCCAATAAAAACATGATGTGTTGGTTATTTCAAATATGTGGATCCAATCTTAGAAAAAAAAGAAGAAAAAACCACAGACACTAAAAACTTAAATTTAATAACAATGAAAACTATAACTATATTCACTAGCTTTCAGTTCAGTTTCCTCCGAGAGTTTGCCCTCTGCCCCAGTTATGTCCCCCGAAAACGGTGTTGCCTGGGCGAGTGGGTACTCTCGCTTGTGGCGCTGTACCAAAACCACCCACGTACCTAGTGTCCGGGAATAGTTGTTTCCTGTTGATAAGATAATATTATTTGCTAACGTACAAAAATGTGACCTAAAACTGTGTTGTGCAGGGTTTTTTTTGTTGCTTAGACGGGTGGACGAGCTCACGGCCCACCTGGTGTTAAGTTGTTACCGTAGTCCATAGACATCTACGATGTAAATGCCGCCACCCACCTCGAGACATGTGATCTAAGGTCTCAGTTTTAACAGTACAACGGCTGCCCCGCCCTACAAACTGAAACGCATTACTGCTTCACGGCAGAAATAGGCAGGGCGGTGGTACCCCCGTGCGGACTCACAAGACGTCCTACCACCAGTAAAGGTCTAAAAACGTTTTAATCTTTTCAATACCTCCAAAATATTTTATGAGATATTTTATGATCATAACAATAACTAAAACCATAAGATAATTGAGATGATCCACAATTTGAGACGTCAAAAATAAGAATAATGTTCTAAGTAAAAAGGCACATACAACTTACAGTAGGTAATATTTTTATTGTGTACTTACAAGAATGCTGGTGGTGTGAGTAATGCAGGGCCACCAAACTCTTGAGGGTATTTGAACAAAAGGAAGAATGCTAAGTGACCAATTAGAATGCCTAGGAGCTCCATTATCCCACTGAAAAAGATTTTAATTCATATTAAATGTAATGTTTTATTTTATTATATTTATTGCTTTGGGAAACTTTGGTAAAATAGATAAACAAAAGCTGTTTCCATCATCAACTTTTTTTATTTTCCTAGCCAAGCTTGTAACCTACAGGTTATGCCAGCTTAACCGTGTAAATAGGTGAGCTGACCTGGCTCTAATCTGAGGACATTGCTACACTGACCTTAGCAAGAGCAGTGCTTCGCAGAGTCTACCACTGAAAACATCTAAGGAGAAACTTAGTGGGCTGATTCCATCAACACGATACACGGTTAGGTAGTAAAGAAAAAAATAATTAAAAATAAATTCCTAAATTTTATTATCTAATTAAAAAAATATCAAACCTAAATCACCTTCCAAAAAACCCAAAAAATCAGTATCAATATTTTGCAATTAATAAATAAATAAGATGTAACATGCAAGAAGTTCATCATACATACACACATTTACGAAAAAAAAAACAGATATGTAGGTGTATTTGCGGTAGGCAGCGGCTTGGCTCTTCCCCTGGCATTGCTGAAGTCCATGGGCGACGGTAACCACTCACCATCAGGTGGGCCGTATGCTCGTCTGCCTACAAGGGCAATAAAAAAAAAAAAACAAAAAAAAAATTTCTTTTCAGAACTGACATGTTCATTTGTATTTAATATTCTTCAACGGTACTAGTGTCATTTACTGTGTTACTGGAATAGCTAAAATTTATCTGCTATTAAAAAGTAATAAAAGAAACACTTACCCTCCACTGATGACAAGGTTGAAAGCGAGTAGTACCCAAGGTAAATACATAGCCTTAAATCTTGTGCCAAACCAAAATGATACAATTACATCTTTATTAAGCTGACACCATACATATAATACCGAGAGTACCATCGGGTCCATTAATACCTGTAACAATAATTTTTACTGAATCCTCTATTCAAAAATTTGTATAATAATATTAAAACAACTACCTCTTTTTCTTGTTTTTATTTTTTTTAAACAAATAATACAATAGAGGTCTCAATCTTATGTAACAAGGTCAGTGACAGCATTCACATTCTTATCTCTTCAGGATCTGCTTCTGTAGACATCAGACAATATGGCCTAATACTGTTGTATTAATATATAAATTGTGGAATACTAATGATAAATATATTTTGTTTGATGAATATAAGGAATATAATATTATGGGTTTTTTTTCAGTATTAAATCTAGTAATAGATATTGTTTTTGTGCAACATTCTATAATTGGTGTAATAGAATTTAATTGTAATAATTAAGAAACATCAGTAAATTAATACACTTACTGGCAATTTGACAAGTAATCCAATGATAACACAGCACACCCAATTAAACAAAAGCATGTAGAAATAGTCAGCTGGCTTCCCTGCAAACATGCCGGTCTCAAGTCTTTGAGAGTAGTTGTACAAAAAGTAGCAGTTTATCAGGAAGTGAAATCCTGTGCCTGGATTTATTGGATAGTAAAACAAAGCTGTTAATGGACGCCATATCTGAAAACAGAAACAAATTAGAAACGATGAACTACCAACTAGAATTGACAGTTTTTAATTTGAAAAGTAATGTAAATGCAGATATCATAATAGATAACTTTTGTTTTCCTTTATAATAAGTAAAAAAAGTATAAAATATGTTTTAGGTCACAACAAATTGTTTCTGTAAACATTAAATTAGACAATTTATAATATATTATCTTAAAAGTTACTTTCAGTGAACATTATATATTTAAAACATTGTGGTGATTAATAGGAAACTAAGTGATATTGTTGTCTCTGTCCATAGAATCTTCTCAGATATTTAAATAGATTTTTGAAAGAGACAACTATTTAGAATCAACAGACCTTTAAATAAGAATCAATCTTGACCTTTGTACAAATTTTAATGCTATTTAATATTATGGCTTTACTTGTACCTTTACTTTTGTTTTACTTACTCCTAAAATATGTAATGACAGAAAAAGTAGACAATTTTAGAAAGTTCCTCACAATTCTTATAATGATTTATTAAAACAAAATAAAACAATGTAAGCAATTAAGTCAAGATTTAAAAATACTCAACAGAGCCTTTTGGCTCATTCTCCTAATTAATTTGATATTTGCAAGTTGGCTTAGTTTTGTATTGCTTAATATCACATAAAATTGTAAAAACGTCACTTAAAAGTGTGCACCACTCCATCCATTCTCATTAACAAGACTATAATTAAGTTACAATCTTACTTACAAGAAACTTTCAGTTATACTTAGTTATGTACATATTAGATAAGTGGGATATCTTCAATGTGTGATTAGATTTTAAAGATAGGTAATAAACATAATGAAAATTATTATTTACGTTACTAGCAGTAAATGTTCAATGCGAATTTATAACCCTTCACTACGAGTCATACATGCATTGCTCTAGTGAGTGTGTTTCAACTACCGAACGGAATCCTAATCATAACCCTTAACATGTTTAATTTCGATGTATCAGAATAAAGGATTTAGATTAACTGAAGGTATAAGCTTAAACATACTTAAATCACTTAAATAAGCTTCTACTTACCTGAAATTGATTGAAGAAATAATAGAAATCCAGTATAAAATAATAAGGGCTTACAAGCCCAAATTTACCAAACAAACTCAATACAATAGTAAAAGTCATCCAATATCTGGTGAAAAACGGTACACCATTGTACCAATCTCGGAATTCCGACATTTTCCAAGATTTTCTGATTATTTCGTTGGCACAAACTGATTTATTATTACACAGTACAATGTCATAAATATCGGTTTTTCGCTATTTTCGTTTATTTTCTTATTTCTTCATAAAAATTGTATGATCACTATGTTCCTAGTAAACACCGATGACGAAATATTAAACAATAATATGAAGTACACGTGTACAAAGCGAATTTGTGTAGAAAATTCAAGTCACTGAAATTGAATGGATTTCATGAATGTTGTTGTTCATAAAATGATATTTATGTTGTGTATAATCTATGTTCGTCTTGGGCTTACTGAATTTAGCCCCTTTTTTATTTTCGCTTTTTTTTATTTTATTTATTTGTTCGTCGTTTCTTCGTTAATGTTCGAGTGTAAAAATTTGTTTGTTCGTCTTTGATTTATTTATAATTAATTAAACAAATGATCACCCTTAAGTTGCCTCCCTTTACTAGATATCTTTATTTTTATCACCCAGATTAATTCATTTTGATCAATTATCGTTTGTTCGATAACTATTGGTGATGTTCGATCATAAAAATAATTAAATTCCCAATTATTAATTATATTATATCTACTATTATATTATACCGTTCTGGCTGAGAGTAGCAAGGGATAGGACCCATTGGAAGGAATTGGAGGAGGCCTATGCCAAAAGGCACACCGAACTTAGGGACCTCTTGTAACCCTATGTTTAGGAATAAAAAGGCTATTATTATTATTATCTAATAAGCAAACCATCACCTCACGCCTACATAGCGTATGCGCCGGTTTTGTCAGTCACCTGGCAATGGCCGTATTTACTAGCGTTTTTTTAACAAGTGTGTTTGTACTACTGTCTAATTATTCCTTAAGTAGATCAAAAAAAGATTGAAAACTTCAACAATACTTCAACAAAAATATGTCAGTGAAGACGGCCAATTAGTCGTTAAAGTACGACTAGCGCGGTTTTAATAAATTCAGTTATTTTTAATTATATTGAATATTAACAAGCATAATAAAGAAATTTCAGTGATTTCTAATTATTCTAAGAATATTTTAGAAGTACAACTTTCGTGTTAAAATGATACTATTCATTAGTATGCAATAGGAGATAGTTAAGATATTTGTATTTTATAATAAAATTAATAATTCCTAAATTCATTACGTAATTCAAAAAATGTAAATGCAATGTAATGCACACAAAATCTGTTTTTGTTGAAATGATAATTATATATAAGTTCAAGAAATATATTGCAGGGACATTTAGTAGAAATTCATTTAATATGGAAGAATAAAATTAGTTATAAACTCTATAAATAGGATTTTAACAAATTTTTACATTCGAACATTAAGGAACAAACGACGAACAAATAATTAAACATAAAAAAATCCGAAAATCAAAAAAAGGGGGCCAAATTCAGTGAGCCCTCATGTTGCTGCTCTCAGTTTAGTTTAGGACATAGTAATAGCAATACATCGGTGAATTGCTAAGCTCTTTGTACCTATAGATAGTTTCGCGATCATATCCATGATCGTCGTATGGTGATAGTTGCCATTCAGGCTATTTACCGCTGTTAGTCATGGAAGTAGAGTTGGGTAGGTACCTCACTCATGAGTTGCCTTATGTGAGGTACCTTTTTTTTTTTTTTTTCATAAATTTGTGGACCAGCTCACAGCCTACCTGGTGTTAAGTGGTTACTGGAGCCCATAGACATCTACAACGTAAATGTGCCACACACCTTGAGATATAGTTCTAAGGTCTCAGTATTGTCACAACGGCTGCCCCACCCTTCAAACCGAAACGCATTACTGCTTCACGGCAGAAATAGGCGGGGCGGTGGTACCTACCCGTGCGGACTCACAAGAGGTCCTACCATCAGTAATTACGCAAATTATAATTTTGCGGGTTTGATTTTTATTACACGATGTTATTCCTTCACCGTGGAAGTCAATCGTGAACATTTGTTAAGTACGTATTTCATTAGAAAAATTGGTACCCGCCTGCGGAATTCGAACACCGGTGCATTGCTCGATACGAATGCACCGGACGTCTTATCCTTTAGGCCACGACGACTTCCTTTAGGCCACGACGACTTCACCTTCACGTACCTACTCGTGACAGTAAATTGAAAGAGTTAGGTACTCGAATTTCAACATTGAACCACTTCACGAACCCCTTCACACTGGCGAGTGAGTGAGAAAAATGTTCAGCGAGGTTAATATCTGTTAACGTGAATCAGATGAATGGAAACGAGGGAGTTGAGCCAAGTTGAGGTGAAATGAGGTGGAAAGTGTCAAATCAAAATAAATTATATACATGTTAATTTAAGAATTTTAAAATTTTTCAAATATTTTTATTTCCGTGAGATTGATAATCCCTTGGTTAATAAACTTTATTTAATCGCACTTAAAAATGACCATAGAGTGAATTTCTTTAATTTTAAATTTTGAGCAAAAGAAAACTATACGTGTGAGGGAGAACAATAATTGCATTTCGCAGCATTCGGTAACACGAAGCGCGAGTCGAGTATAATGCGTGCAATACTTGTTCGACACTCGACTCACTCGTTCGGCCTCAACCAACTCACCGCCCGCGCCGGGACGTGCGTCGAGCAAGCGCTACCTCACCTCAAATGAGGGGTACCTCATGAGTACCTCGCGAGGTAAAATGAAGTGCTCCCTCATCTTCACTTAAAATAGACGAGTTACCCATCGCTACATGGAAGTAATAAGTAGTTGTACGTAGTAGGTACATATGGTACCTACTACGGACAGCTACTTATTACTTCCATGCTGTAGTCCATTAAACACACTAAGAGAACATAACCCCTTATTTTTAAAATTCGCCGTTTTAATTATTTACAGTTTATGTATAATAAAAAACGAAGGAGACTAATCGCGACATAACATAAATGATTAAAAACGAATTGAATTTACAAATGAGATGATATATGATGAAATATAATCTCAGTAAAATGGTGGTCATTTACTGAGACTTTTTCATTTGACTTTTTAGAGGATCCCGAGAAGCTATGTCCAGCGGCTTTATTTCATTTTCCCACATTTGTGCACTTTCGCAGATGCTAAACAGTTAATAAACCACCGTTATTACAGATTTGAACTTGAAGAAACATTATATAGACAAAATAAAACAAATCACACAACTTCACTCCTCGCGTTCCCGCCAAAAAGTCCTCATAGGTCTCATACAATCCAAATGACAGTCTAACATAGATAATACATTTGATATTTTGTCTGTGTGCATAGATTATACACTTAGCATTTGATCTGTGTGATTGATTTAAAACATTGTTTTGTTAATGAAGTTTTTAAATTTTCAACTAACCAAATATTGAAATTAAGATGAGAATACTCATAAAGAAATATGCCACAATATCCAAAATTTTACTACCTAGACGAAATTTAGTCCGTTTCCTTTCAAATGATACGCAAAAAAAAACAGAAAATGAGACCGAAAAGATTGAAGAAGTAAAAAAAAGTAAGGTTAAAATTAAATAAGATGATGTACCAATTTACCCTCTTCTGTTTTAAATTTCTAAAATTTCTTAAATTTCTTCTTCTTTTAAATTTACTTGGTACTAGGTACGTGATGTTCGTTTTGTTACACACATTCTAAGTGCTTTTAGAATGTGTCCAACTAAACGAATTTTAAATCCGTTTATTACTTCTCATTTGTTGAGCTCTAGTGGTTGGTGGCCAAAATTATTGTACCTTAGGCCCTACTTCATTTCACGATACTATTCCTTTTTTTTAAAGGTGTGGCCCTTGTTTTTTTTGTGTTGTTACAGTATATCCATTTAATCCTCGAAAATTACCTTTGCCTCCAATTTAAATTTTTAATTTTGCACTACTTGCTTTATAATTGCAAAAAAAGAAAATTGCAAATTTTATGTAATTACTGGGGCCAGGGAGACGCTTGCCCGGGCAGGTACCACCGCTCTGCTTATTTCTATGTTGAATTATAAATTGCATTAATAATAAAAAAAATCTCAATTATTCTCAAATTCCATAATTTTTAGATATCATAATAGATAAATTCGGAGCAGTCACAACATTGAACATAGACCGTCAAGTGACTCGCAATAGTCTAGACGAAGCCACCCTCAGGGAGATGGCTGCCGCGATAGATGACTTTGAGAAAGATAATCAAGCCAAAGTATTGGTTTTGAATGGTGAAGGAGGATCTTTCTGCTCTGGATTTGACATTGATGAAATTGGGGAGAAAGGCTATAACAGTTTAAAGGATGCTGCTGTATGTTGAAGATGTTTTTTCTGTATTTTACAATTACACTCAATTTGCAGATTTTGAGATTAGATTTATAAATTTTTACAACTCTCGCTAACATAAAATTTAAAACACAGGCACGTCTGTTACGTCGACCACTTTGTGATAAGCCAACAATAGCAGCCGTCACTGGATATGCAGTTGCGGAAGGTTTTGAGCTGGCATTAGCTTGTGATCTACGAGTCATTGAAGATACTGCAGTATTAGGATGTNCACTCAATTTGCAGATTTTGAGATTAGATTTATAAATTTTTACAACTCTCGCTAACATAAAATTTAAAACACAGGCACGTCTGTTACGTCGACCACTTTGTGATAAGCCAACAATAGCAGCCGTCACTGGATATGCAGTTGCGGAAGGTTTTGAGCTGGCATTAGCTTGTGATCTACGAGTCATTGAAGATACTGCAGTATTAGGATGTCTTGGAAGAAGATTTGGTGAGTATTGAGTATAGTTAAATTGCTCCAGCTTATTTCAATCATAAAATAGCACACCTGAATTAGTTGGTAGGTGTGGCTTGAAAACATTAGAAATAAGAAAATAAACTTGAAATTTCGAATAGAAAGGAGAAGGAAGATAGCATGCTTGATTTTTAAATTAATTTCGTATAACAAGGAAGTTTGTGATCTTCATCACTTTTTGTAACCCTTGTCTGAAACATCAGTCTGCCTTTTTCTTTTATGAGGCAATCTGTGCCCTGGTTCAAAGAAGATTTCAATTCTTAAATCTTTTGTCCCAATGTGGGCTATGTGATTTCTATAAGAACTGGTAATCATAACAACCAATAAACTTGTCTGCAGTCTATTGCTATGAATAATATGATATTTGTTTTTATTAGATTTCAAACTACCTGATTTTTTTTGTGAGAGAGAGTAATACAGGTCTTTTTTAATTAATCTTCTAGGAGTCCCACTAAGTTTGTACGGTGCAAGGCGTTTGACATCATTGATTGGGTTGTCAAGAGCTCTCGATTTGATAATGACGGGGCGGCTAATCTCTGGAACTGATGCACAACAAATGGGCCTGGCTTGCAAACTTACTTCTACAGGAACCGGTGACTTTAATAATATTTGGTTTTCTCAGTGTTTACACATTAAAAATGACTTGCTAAATAAATAAATAAATAATTTAAATAAATCATAAATTCAAGGATAATACAGAGAAAAGTATCAATTTATTTAAAAAATTAATATATCTTGAAGTAAAATTTTACCTCAAAATTATCGGTACAGTTCTGATAAGTACATTCACGAGTGTACCATGAGACTTCAGCCAGACTTCCGATTTCAATAACAAATTGCTAAAAATTTTTTTAGGACTTGGTGAATCCGTGAAGTTAGCCAAATCCTTGGCTAAGTTTCCCCAAAATGCATTAATAATGGACAAGTTAGCAGCAGTTAACTCTCAGTTGAATCCGAACAGTGAGGAAAGCATGAGGGACGAAGCAGTCATGACTAGTCTGTTAGGTAACGCTATACTGGATATAGAGGAAGGCGTCAAAAAGTTTCAAGGAGGTATTATATAGTCATTATTTAGATAACACTTTCACATCGTTTATTTATTTATTTATGTTAAAACTTCAGCATGACAAATGCAAAAGCTTGCTTTGTAAACAAGTTTTTTAAAATATTTTTAGCTTTTTAGATATATATATTATTTGTTTAGCTTTTAAGCATAGTTATTCTTGTTTCAGGTATAGGAAAGCATGGAAAGTTCTACAAATTATCAGAAGCACCATTAAAAGAATGGGAAATTGAAGAGAGCGTCGAAGAAGTCACAGTTCAGAAGATAAATGAAAGGAAAAATGAAAAGTCATAAATATTGCATAATAGTTGTTAAGCTGTTGTTTAATTTGAGGCTTTAATTAATTTTAATAAATATCTAGTCGTTCTCATTGCTGAATTTTTTTAAATCTATCTGGTATATATATCTGTGGGTCTAAGTATCTACGTGGAATTGTAGGGTGAAATCTATTTGATTTTAACATTAACATCAGAATCTTTATTTAATAAATAAAACAATCTTGTAATCTTAAGTGATGGCTGACATTGGCATTCGTCTTCTTTTAAAATCTAGTGTGAATTAAAATAATGATAATAAAAATGCCAATCTTCCCAAATTTAAAGTAGTCATAAAAAAAAATTAACAGGCCTTAAAGTCCAACAAGAAATGGAAATTATAGCTCGAGTGTTAAATTTTCAGATCTAGCAATGAGTTTTTATTATCTATGGTAAATCTAAGGAATTTAATGTTGTTTTTTTTTTTGGAAAAATTTCTGGATTGATTCTGTGTCATGTTAAAGGGTTTAAGCACTTCGAATCAGACGGGCCGGGGGCTTGTTGCCCTTATGGCACTAATTGATAATTGTTTCTCGTGTATGTCAACGCCAATAAAACTCATAAAATACAAATACATTTTATTTCTTATACAAAAACAATTTAAAACTGATCATCCTTGATGCCCTTCTCTGCTTGGTACTTGTAGTGGAGGTCGGAGCAATCCTCGTTGGAGATGTTGACCCAACCCTTGTCGTTGATGTGGTACACTCTTATGATCCCGCCAGAGTACGCGTCGCGGTGAGTAGCGTGGTAAATCGCACGTCGACCCAGCTCTATAAATAAATTATAGAACTTACGAATAACAGATGAAGTGGTAACAGCAGCTCTAAGGTCCTTAACAAACTAGAATGGTAAGAACACCCTAAATATTTTTGCTGCAGAACGGTACAAATCAAATTACAGCTGTCTCAGTGTAAAAATGTATATCTATATATATAAAAATGAATTGCTGTTCGTTAGTCTCGCTAAAACTCGAGAACGGCTGGACCGATTTGGCTAATTTTGGACTTAAATTATTTGTGTAAGTCCAGAGAAGGTTTAAAAGGTACATAAATATAAAAATGCTCGGAATTAAATAAAAATAACAATTTCGTTTTCCCTTTGATGTGTCCCCCATCGGACGGATTCTTTTTGTTTATTTTATACAAAAGCTTAGGTCTTTTATTTTTCGATTGAGGTCAGCTAGTTATGAATAAAATAATACAAACCTTGTGCGTCCTCATCTGACAGATCCCAGCTGTATCCAGAGTCAAGTACACCAAAAGCATACACAGAACCTGAGCCCACTGAGAACACCTTGCCTGGAGTGCGAGTACCTTCACTGTCTACATAGTATAGTTGTGCTCCCTGCATTAAATGAAAAATACTTATATATACTATGAGCAATCAATGATCAATAAATTTAATTAACAACTCCACCAAAAGTTTTTGACCCAATTAGACTCTATTTCAAAACATATAAACATATTTTCAAAAATACTCGCTTATATAATTTGAAACTACAAAATACTTGTCTTAGGTATGCTTTTTTTTAAAATTATAGATTGAAAAAACCGAAAGCTGAAAGTCTAAATTGCATAAAAAGCATATTATAAAAGATTGTATTGTCTTGTGAGCCTGTATGGGTAGATACTATCACACAACCTATTTCTGCTGTAAAGCAGTAATTAATTTCAGTTTGAAGAGTGGAGCTGCCATTAATAAAACAGATTTAGACCTCATGTCTCAAAAAATAGGCTTCATTAACTACTTAACATCGTGGCCTACGATGAGTTTGATCACTTGTCTCAACATTTTTAAATGTATTGTCAGGACTATTTAGGATGAATATGTTTGACACAGTCAAGACACAATTGGTGGTGAGAAGTTCATAATAGAGATCAATGTGGACAATTTTTTTCCAATTCTTGGGGACAAAAAAACATTTTCTTAATATCAATTTAGAGTTTGGCAGTAGTAAGTACCTACTAGTGGTCTTATTAACAACTTACTCTCTTGTCAATACCAGCTAACATCATTCCCATGCTGAGGCCCATTCCTTTGTAGTTGTACACCATGTTAGCCATGAGTTTACTGGCTGCTGCTACAGAAATACGCTCCCTATTCCGAAGCTCATAGAGACGGCATTGCTTTGCGAGTACTCGGTCCCAGTAGACACAGTCTGCTGCACCTCCGGCGAGAGTACCTGACAAACATTATTTTATTATTCATTGTTTCAAGAATTTCATTGAATTCATGAGCGATAGAAAATGTTTCCAAAGCAAAAGATATTAAAGAAATCTATTTTCTGGTTTGAATCTCATATTTGTAAAACTAAAACTCCATTATTTTTATTTCTGTGTAAGTAAACAGTTATGCTCTAGAAACTTAGTCTTTAATGCTTACCAAGCAAATAGTCGTTTATTTCTACTATTTTCTTCATGGATTGAGAACCAATAAATTGGCCACCTGTAGCTCGAGAGTCGACGGCTAATAAGACCCCTCCCTGAAAAAATAATCTTTTACATCAGAAGATATAAAATGAAAGAATGGTAGTAGTTTTGTTAACAAGCATATATTCAACGAGTATTCTATAAATAATATCTATTTATACATATGTTCTAATTTAAATTAATAATAGTTAATGGGAAAGTACTTCATATTAAATTATGAACTCACTTTGTATCGAAAACCAAGAGTGGTGGTGCCATGGTCAAACTGTATTTTGATTTCCTTTCCAGTCTCATCCTTTGTGTTGAAGTGTGCTAAGGTTTCAGCAGGCTGTAGTGTAATATATTTTTATTATTATTATTCAGAAAAAAATGTTTTATTCTTCTATTTAATTACATTACTTACGTTCGCAAATGGGGGAGAAGCGAGCTGAGCACTGTTTACAAAGTTTTCACTGTAGCCGGTAATGTCATTATTGAATGATGCGAGAGAATCAACGGGTTTCAAGTTAATTTTTTCATTTAAACGGCAGAAATCGAGTAGAGCCATTTTTTGTTTAACACTAATTTCAATAGTCTTGATGAGCGAATGACGAGCGAAATTTTCGAAAACGCCGATTTGACAGTGAAGCTATCGTTTGACATTTGAGAATTTCAAATTGACAGCAGCACAAGTGTGCTAAGCATAGCTTACACATAATATTTGTGAGAAACATACATTTTCAATATGGAAACGAAGTCTTACATTTTTTTAATGATAGTAGACAACTGAGAAACAACATTTATTTTAAATACACCATGGTAGTTTGAATTTTAAATATATGAATACAGAAAATTTAAAAACACTTCAAATCTTCCAATACATGCTGGTAGAAAGTTATCATATGACAGCTATTCGTCGGTAGATGGCAGTCATGGATGAAATTTTGTATTTTTGCAAGATTGTATGGTTTTAAAACTGGAAATAAATGCCAAAGATATCTTGAAGTAGACAGGTAGAGTATGTAGATAGATAATGGGGGTAAGTGCGAATTATTGATAAAACTATGAGTATCCTTTTAAATAGAAAACCACACTTTACAGGTAGTTTACTTTTATTTTGAATTATTTGTTTTTAGTCCTTTGCAATATTTTTCTGTTCATACACATTGCAAAATGCCAGATCCAGATTGCCAAGTTTTCTAAAATCTGGGTGAGCAAGTAATCGCACGCAATAATTTTTGGAGGTTATTTATATTTTACATTGATTACATCTTTCTATATTAATCTATCTAAATTTCCATTGAAATGCATGAAATTAAAAAAATATTGCCTTGTACCAGTAATACCAGGTGGGGCATGAACTTTTGGCGGTAACAACAGAGGAAAGATTTCTTTACTAATGATTACTGAGCGGGTGAAATTGCTTGGTAGACCGACGATCCCAATGTAAGTGTTCGGAACCCGTATGCAATATACCTAATGTAAATTTACCTTGAAGATTTCGAAATTCATGAATCTGTTAAATATGTGTTTCATATTTGTGAATTATTTTGTTTGACCACGGAGAAGAAAGAAGTCTTCGTAGTGTTTAAAAATAGGAAAAGATAAGAATAAAGAACATTATAATTAATATTGCAATGCTATAATTAATCACAATCAGCGTGTTCAAAATGTTACGATGAAACATAAATAGCTCGTCAATTTAAACTAAAGCCCGCTAGAGCAAGAAAATATTAACTATTCTTTTATTACGAAATTTTGATTTGTTATCTAGGCAAGTAATGTAAATGTCAAATTCTCTAAAAAGTATAGGTACATGCAAGATATTTCTTTGAGAACGACGATCGATTCTACTTAATATGAAATTGACGAGAGATGTACATAAAAACTGCATATTTCTAATGAAATACGCACTCAACAAATGTTCACGATTGACTTCCGCGGTGAAGGAATAACATCGTGTAATAAAAATCAAACCCGCAAAATTATAATTTGCGTAATTACTGGAGGTAGGACCTCTTGTGAGTCCGCACGGGTAGGTACCACCACCCTGCCTATTTCTGCNTAATATGAAATTGACGAGAGATGTACATAAAAACTGCATATTTCTAATGAAATACGCACTCAACAAATGTTCACGATTGACTTCCGCGGTGAAGGAATAACATCGTGTAATAAAAATCAAACCCGCAAAATTATAATTTGCGTAATTACTGGAGGTAGGACCTCTTGTGAGTCCGCACGGGTAGGTACCACCACCCTGCCTATTTCTGCCGTGAAGCAGTAATGCGTTTCGATTTGAAGGGTGGGGCAGCCGTTGTAACTATACTTGAGACCTTAGAACTTATATCTCAAAGTGGATGGCGCATTTACGTTGTAGATGTCTATGGGCTCCAGTAACCACTTAACAAAAGGTGGCCTGTAAGCTCGTCCATCCATCTAAGAAAAAAAAAATACATAATATATTGCTGTTAAGAACATAACACTAGATTTGTGGAGACAATGCTTACTGTATAGATCAGTCTTTTAGGTTATGTTTTGTTTTAGAACCTTATTATTATTCATTTATGAAACTAGGATGTGTACATTTGTTTTATTTCAGGGTGTATTTTTTTTATTGCCCTTGTAGGCAGACGAGCATACGGCCCACCTGATGGTAAATGGTTACCGTCGCCCATGGACTTTAGCAATGCCAGGGGCAAAGCCAAGCAGCTGCCTACCGCTTTATATTCTCCACAAGCCTCGTTTGAAGAAGGACATGTCATAGCGCTCGGGAAACACCGTGGATGGGAGCTCATTCTATAGCCGGATGGTACGTGACAAGAAAGACCTCTGGAAACGCACTGTCGGTGAACGCAGCGGTTCAAGATAATATGGATGAACTCTGCTCCGATGGCGGGAGGTGCGATGATAAAAAGGAGATGAGGGATCATCTGTGTATTATGCGATTGGGCATTATTTATCAGGGAATTTAAGTAAAATGTTTACGGCATTGTTTTCTCAGTGTGCGGTTTTTTCCCCTACCTATGCTGATAGCCTTTGAGGCTGATAGCCTTGAGAGGCAATTTCACCATCACCTTGACGCGAAGGTGAGCTCACGGGGCTCAAATCGGAGCATTGCTAACACTGGTCCTAGCAAGAGCAGTGCAGAATCTACCACCGGATCGGAAACGCGACCCACTGAGAAGATCGGGCGAGAAACTCAGTGGGCTGTTTCTGAGGGGTAAATTACTCGTCGAGCCCGTCGTCGCAAGCGACGGGTTCGGCGAGCACGGTGACCGGTAGTGTGCGGTGACGCTTGAACCCTGAACAAATAGGATGTATGCGTTGACCTGTTATCTTTGAAATGCAATTAATTATATTTTATTACTTGCAATTAAGTATTTTCCGAGTAATTTTAAAACTAATTGAATAATAATTTGTTGCTATAAAACAAAATACTGATGAAAGCATAGATAGCATAGACGTGGGCGATGGTTTATCGGTTATACGTTTGATGTAGATTAGTACCTATGTAATTATAATAATATTAATTCTAATAATTTGTATTCTAACGACAATGAACTCTAGCGTTATTTAGGCTTCTTCTCCAAGTAGGCGATCTTTGTAATTATTTATTTATTTATTAGGCACATGACACATTACAAGCTAAAAAGATACACAATCATTAACCAAAAAATCTTTAACATTGATTAAAAACAATAAAAGGCTAGTAATCTCGAGCTTATTTTGTTCGTTCCACAATTTCCTACGAGAAATAAGTTGACATGAACATAGAAAAAACAAAAATGAAACATCAGAAATTGTACAAATGGTTAAATGAACGCAAAGTCTGAACCGAATAACTCGGTTTTGAATTATATTTATAACTAGCGATCCGCCCTCGCTTCGCTTCGGAAACATTAAATTTTATTATTGATAGCTGAGTCCCGCGATGTTACCCGCGGTTATTGTCGTACCGCGGGGTCAACCTAGTCTAAAAAAGTAGCTTAAGTTACTCCTTATATCATCAGCTACCTATCAGTGAAAGTCTCGTCAAAATCGGTCCAGCCGTTCCAGAGATTAGCCGGAACAAATGGACAGACAGACAAAAATTGTAAAAAATGTTGTTTTGGTGTAGGTACCGTATGCATGTAGTAAAAAACAATTATTTCAATATTACAAGCAGACACTCCAATTTTATTTATATGTACCTATAGATTACGTTTAGTTAGAATAGGTTAAAATTAGAACTAAGATTACAACGTCAAAATATTGATGAAAGATTTGGTACATATGTATGTATTTACAATATGGTACATAGTAATGGACAGTTAACATACTTAAGTAAAAAAACAAAAAAAAAATACGTTAAATGATTATGACAGTTTCTATATACGCAACGGAATCATCTTTCATGTGATTTTTTTAATTCAAGAAGTCCGATCTATTTGAAAATTTTTAAAAGTATCAAAGACCGATGACAATGTAAATATTTGATGTTAAGTTTACTTCAGCTTGTTATTGAAACCTGTGTTATTTGTTTTTAAACGATCAATGGTGTAGGCTCTGATAGATCATAGATAATTCGTTATAAAACTAAAATAAGTACTTTTTAAATGGCGGCATATTTTATTTGCATATGTCGGCAGAGGGGTTTGGGCTCATTCGGTGTCAGTGGTGCTCGTAAATACCTACGCAACTTTGAGGGACGATTGAAGTCCTAATTAAAAGTACAGAATACATTTCTAAATTAAAAAAAAAGATTATGTAATAATATTTATGTTTATATCTAAACCTGTGATACCATACATGTTCAATATTTGATACCTTCTCCTGAGTCACGAACTTTAGTCCGAATCAAAGGATACACTATCCTTAAATCTTCAACTTTGAGATATTAATGCTATAATTTCTCTTGACCGTTTTGGTAACGTAAAAAAATAAAAAGAATCATTTAGAAAAACTTGGGTCGTACGTTTTGGTTTCGCCCTCCCACACATCACGTTACACGTCATAATATTGAAGAGATCGTGAACGACTTAGTGAAACGAGTCACGAGTATAACTAAAGTGCATATTAGCTGACCTAGCCCGAACGAATGATAGCCCCGAAATTCAATAATTGCAAGTTACGTCAGTCGATCGTCACACCGTATTGTAAGATGCGGTTTTATGCGAAAAGACGTGCCGGTTTGCGAATTGTTGTTTTTATTTATTTTATCACAGCCCCCTGGTTTTAAGTGGTTACCGGAGCCCGTAGACGTCTAAAACGTAAATGCCGCCACCCACCTTGAGATATGAGTTGTATGGTCTCAGTATAGTTATAACGGCTGCCCCGCCCTTCAAACCGAAACGCATTGCTGCTTCGCGGCAGAAATAGGCAGAGTGGTGGTACCTACCCGTGCGGAGTCACAAGAGGACCTACTACCAGTAAAGTAAGTTATCAAGAATGCTCTAATTGGAAATGATCCCGTCACCCGCATTCTACAATCGCATTACCCGCCGTCAGAGCAGTTTTCTCATATACTTTTGGAAACATTGTGCAGGTCCACAGTGGATTTCATTAATTTATGGCTTATAGGTCATC